GGGGGGGGGGGGGGGGGGGGGGGGGGGGGGGGGGGGGGGGGGGGGGGGGGGGGGGGGGGGTACGGGAGGGCGGGGTGCGGGAGTACGAGGGGCGCGGGGTCTGGGGATGGGAAGTGCGGGGTGCAGGAAGTGCGGGGGGTGAGGGAGTGCGGGGTCCAGTGGGGGGGGGAGGGCGCAGGGTGCGGGGAGGGCTGGGTGCGGGACTGAGGGGGGGGGGGGGGGGGCGCAGGGTGCGGGGAGGGCTGGGTGCGGGACTGAGGGGTGCGGGACTACGAGGGGTGCGGAGTACAGGGCGTGTGAGGGTCCAAGGGGTGCGGGGGGTGGGAAGTGTGGGGGGCTCGGGGTGCGGGGGGTTCAGGGGGTGCGGGGGATGCACGGACGCCCCGAGCCCCGCGAGCAGCGCCCGCCGCAACCTCTTTATCAGAGCGACACTCGGCGGGGACGGCGGGAACTGCAGCCGAGGGAGCGGTGGGAGAGAGGGGAGAGCGGGTGGAGAGGGAGGAGCAGGGAGAGGGGGAAGAACAGGGAGAGAGGGAAGCGCGGGCAGCAGTGGACAGAGTGGGCAGCCCTCAGCACCTACAGGGCATTTGGGGCGGTGGGAGCAGCTGCCCCAAGGCTTTTGCAGCCTCCAGTGGAGCAAAGCAGGCTCCCAGCCCTGGAGCACATCCAGCACCAGGTACAAGGTGGTGGGCCAGGTGTGAATAGAAGGCAGCATGTATTGGTGAGAATAAATTCGAGGCTTAGGGTAGATCCTCTTCGGGTGGGAGAGCAACCTTCCAGCAAAGGCAAATGCCATCAAGAGCAGGCAGAAAGGCCGGATTTCAGTCTGCAGTTGTCCATCCTTTCCTCTGACCAGCAAGGATGTTATGTGTTGATGCTAACAGTGCCATGCACCTCACCATGTGCAGGGAGCAATGGGTGTTCAGCCAGCAGGGCATCTGGGAGAGCTGCCTTACCCTGCACACAACAGGCTCCTCCAGCACACACAGACGGAGCTGTTTGCTGAGCTCTGTGAGGTTAAACAGGCCATGCTGCCTCATGCAGGACCAAACATGCACCTTGCCCAAACATCTGGCCTGTACTTCTGTGCCATCAGTGTTATCAGTCCTGTGAGGAGGTGTGGATTGCTCAGCACACTGTCCTCTGTGCCCATCGAGCAGCTTTCTAAGTGTCAGAATGTGCCCTGCCACTGCAGCCACTCACCAAAGCATCTGTTTTGCCTGTGCAGATTTGGCAATGAAGGTCTGTATTTTTTGCTTCATATATAGCTCAGGACAGTGATGTCCTGATCCATCAGCTGGGCTTCTAAAGGCTAGGACCATCCAAAACAACCTCCAAAATACTGCAGGTGAGTGACGGAGCTGCTGCTGAACAGGACTCTGGGACACAGGGTGGAGGTGAGGATTGTTGCTTTTTTTGTTGCTCTTAGTGCAACTGGTCACATTGGTTCAATAGTCCTTGAGCAGAAATGGGCACAAAAAGTCTCAGGAGTCTCATCCTGAAACGAAACTTCCTTTCCAAAAAGCAAATCTACCCTCTGAACAATAACATAACTGGGAGGTCATTTTAAATTTGCTTCAGAGTTTCAGTCCATATTCCCCGCTCTGGTGATCTGGCACATAAAACACGGTGCAGGACCTCTTTAGGCTTCATTTTGGGGATTTTTTTTTTTTTTGCATTTCTGATGTTTAGTATAATTCAACCTCAGCAAGTCATCTGTTTAGCACAGCACAAAGGTATGGGATAGGTCAAGGCTGAGCAAACTTGTCTTAAGGTTCAGGAAGAGCAGAAAATGGCAAAGCCTTCTCAGAAAATGAAGATAAATAATTTACTGGGCTAATCAATAACTTGCTCTGTTCATTCCTAAAAAAGTTGTGACCTAGATATACGTGAGCATCTGTGTGTGGGCATGTGAAGCATATATAAAATAACATTCCTGTGTAGATTAAAGGAGGTAGTTTGGCTTGTTTGGCAAAATTTCTCAGAGTTTTTTAATCATTATTTAAAATGCTGTAGACCTTAAATGGTCCTTTCAACCATGATGCCTTCTGAGTGGTCTGCAGTAACTAATCTTTACCTGACACCTGTTTTACAGGGCATGTATATCCAGCTTCCTTTTTTACACTATGTCTTCATTTTTATTATTTCTAATAAATAGATTCTAATATCTGCATAATATAATCAATAGGAGGCATTATGATAAATTATTCTACTTCTCTTAACAGAGTAGAGTAATAAGTTTTAGGAAAATTGGTAAATTAACACAAACCTTAGAAAAATAATTAGAAATGAATGACAGAAAAGTAGGAATCAGAAAATTGCCTGTAGCAACAGAAATGAACTTGAAACTATGCTCTTAAAAGGATTTAAAAGAAATCCCAGAGATCCTGATTCAGGAGAAGGTGGGCTGCAGGTACAAAACCAGCTCTCAGGATTGTTCTGGAAGAACCCTTTGTCCTATTTGCAGGAACCTGGGAGGCAGTTTATGCTCCTCCATGAAGCACATCAGGAAGGGACAGGCCTGTTCCAAACACATTCCTCTGACCTGACCAGGGAGAGACTCCAAGGCAGGAGGAGAGGAGAGCCTGGCTCACTCTGCCTCGGGGAGACCAGCTGGTGTGTGCTCAGCAGCCCCTGCCCGGGTGTGGGGCAGCCTGGATGGACCAGGATGCTGCACTCACTGGGTGTGGGCTGGCAGCCAGTGGGACATCCAGCTCCAAGGAACCACAGAATCCCAGAATCTGCTGCGCTGGAAGGGACCCACAAGGATCATCGAGTTCATCTCCTGGCCCTGCACAGACCCATCCCCAAGAGTCACCCCCTGTGCCCCAGAGGATCAGCCAAACCCTCCTGGAGCTCTGGCAGCCTTGGGGCTGTGCCCACTGCCCTGGGGAGCCTGGGCAGTGCCCAACCAGCCTCTGGGGGAAGAACCTTTTGCTGAGATCCACCCTGAGCCTGCCCTGACACAGCTCCAGCCATTCCCTGGGTGCTGTCCCTGGTCCCCCCAGAGCAGAGCTCAGTCCCTGCCCCTCCTCTGCCCCTGCCCAGGAATTGGAACTGCACTGAGGTCTCCCCTCAGTCTCCTCTGCTCCAGCTGAACACACCAAGTGCCCTCAGTGTCCTCCCACGGCTTCAAATCAAGGCCCTTCCCCATCTCCGTTGCCTCCTTTGGGCACTCTCTGATGGCTCAATCCCTTCCCTCCGTTGTGTCCCCCCAAACTGCCCCAATGTTGAGGTGAGGCCGGCCCAGGGCAGAGCAGAGCGGGACAATCCCCTCCCTGATGCCCCAGGACAGGGATGTCCCTCCTGGCTGCCAGGGCACAGGGCAGAGGGGCTCTGCAGGCCTGAAATCACAGGCCCTACGTACAAGTCTTAAATGTACAACCTGAGAGAAAACAGTGACCTTTCCACTGTGCTTCACCCACAGCCCAAGAGAAGGAACCTTGAGAGCCTGTTTTGTTCCAGGCTATGGCAGAGAGAGGTTTGGTTCTACTGGTCCTGCCAGTGCCTAAAGGGGCCTACAAGGAGGCTGGAGTGGGATTTTTCACAAGGGTGTGGAGTGATAGGACAAGGGGGAATGGCCTTAAGCTGAAGGAGGGCAGAGTGAGATGGGAAAATTCTTCCCTCTCAGGGTGGGGAGGCCCTGGCACAGGTTGCCCAGAGAAGCTGTGGCTGTCCCATCCCTGGAATTTCCCAAGGCCAGGTTGGACGGGGCTTGGAGCAACGTGGGCTAGTGGGAGGTGTCCCTGCCCATGGTAGGGGTGGAATTGGATGAGCTTTAAGGTCCCTTCCAACCCAAACCACTCCATGACTCTGTGGTGCCAGACTGGTGATCTGAGCCATGGGTCTCCCCTGCCTCTCCTGAGATGCTCGTTGCTATGAGGAAACATATCCCCAAGCAGAGCAAATAGTTTTATTCCAGATATGATCTCTTTGCTCTCACCTTTTACTACCCATGTCTTTATTTAGCAGCAGCAACTTTCTTCTGAACAAAGCCTAGGCCCAAGCTACACCCTGGAGCCATCCATCACTTGTTGCCACAATGGTGTTTCTATTGTTAATTGTTAGTCAGGGTTGCTTTTTGGGGTTAGGCAGTGCAGTGATTTAGTACACCAGCTAATCAGCTCTGAAAATGTATTCTCAAAATAAATTAGATGCAAAAAAAAAGAAGCTCGAAAAGTCTGTCGGTCTTGATACAATCCTTCAGGATTGCTGGGCTCCCTCACAAAACCACAACTGGATCCAGTAGTTAAAGAGGGTCACTGCTGCTCCTGG